TCTCATCAGTGGTGTACCCGGACATATTCAGCTCACAGAGATAAATTAGTCTATATCATCTTAATACCGTATTTAGATCACTCTTAGCTGGCTGGTGAAATACTAGAGATCCACCTGGGTGGTTTCTAACTACTCAGTGTTCAGTAGTAGTAGCTTTCGTTATTTCAAGACACTTTTGTACCGGACACCACACCTTGTTATCTTGGCTGACGTGTGATTTTCAGCAGAAACCCTGTTGACATCACAAATGGAAAAATTAATCAGCTGTGGGGAATAACAACGTTGACCAAGCAATTTGCAAATCATTCGGAAACCCTCATTAAGCTTAAATTTGAGTAGTTTCAAGAACAATTGGGGGGGGGGGGACTGAATATTCTCACACCAGGATTTAAAATCCACGCTTGACTGACAGCTAACTTCGTATATATGATCCACCGAATCCAACCCCGGACGAATTAGAGAAAACTGAACTAGATGGTAGAATTAATTTTCTTCGAGAAGAATAGTCAATCAACCCAGAAACGCACGTATATATATATATATATATATATATATATATATATATGTTGGGGTATTTCTGAAGTAAGCACTAACCAATCACCGAATTATCTTGAAAATGTGCCACGGTAGGGGAATAAACTACCGACCATGTCGTAAAAATGGTGTATAAACGACAATTCAAAAATTCCTAGATTAATAAACAGATCTGGCGCCTGGCAATCAAAATAGTCTTGTTACCTAACAGATATTTATACTGGGTGCGTGCTGACCAGACTTTTATTTCACTTCATTTTCCCGTCAATCATCACCCAGTATAAATACCAAACTATGGCTATCTTAGATAGCCAAAAAGATAACCAATGTGAAACTCCCCCCTCCTCTCTAGTTCAGTTACATTTGGATTGGGATGTGAATACGATCAAGTGGTAGTAACGCGTCACAAATACATATGGTAGTCATCAGGTAAAACTCTTGATGATTGAAGTGAAATAAAAATCTGGTCAACAGTCAGAGCTCATAGCTCAGTTCGAATCCGGTCACAGTCTAAATTTCCATTTCCTTGTCAATCATCACCTAGTATAAATACAAGTCTGCTAAATTATGATTATCTCAGATAGTCAAAATGATAACGTAACATATAGTTAATTCTGACTAACTTCATAAACAACATTGAATCAATCAATATCAACATAGGACCAGGCATCACTGCGTAACGGTCCGAGTTGCCACACCTCATATCAGTACAGCATGTAGAAAGGTAGTGAGGTGAAGGATGAAGATAAGTGAATGCAGTCAAAAGAAATATAAAGTACGAAAACAAAAGAAAGAGGAGTGACAAAATGGTGAGATTCTGTATAGCATCTTTAAGATGAGGATAATATGTGTGTATACATCTGGGCCACTGACATCGGTTCTGAGCAATATCACCTAGAGTCTCCAACTACTGGTTCCGCTTGTCCCGCGGACCCCAACCACTTAGTCTGCATCGCCACACATGGCTCAAACCAACAATCAAAGACTTCATACATCGGTTCCATGTTTTAGTATGGCCACCTCGGGCCTTTATCCAGCCTGGGCCTACTTCGGCCAACATTGTGTGACGTGACAATCAGTGACTAGGCATACGTAGTACGTGTCTCAACTATCTCAATCGATGAAGGTTTATAACCTCGTCTACTGATTTACCTCTTCTCCCTAAAACTCTACATATGACTTCTGCATTACTCATGTGATGACACCACGCAATACGTCCTATACTACGAAGGCAACGGTGGTCAAACACTTGAAGCTTTCTTATATCTTCCACTTTCAATGGCCATGTTTCACAGCCATAGAGTAGAACAGAGCGGACTGCTGTGTAGTACACGCGACCCTTAGTAGGCTAACGGATAAACAATACTCAGTACTCACCTAATACTATATATGATTATGACTTTATTTCTAGAAGTTGATACAATATCATCCCAATACAACTTGCTGAAATATCTACATCCAATCATGTTGTTATTAAAAAGATGGAATATTTATAAGATATTATAAATTAACCAAGTTATTTTCGCAGATTTCGTAAAGAGAACCGTATCCCCATATCAAGAAAGATGCTTTACATTAGTCTAAATTTCAAAGGTGAAGATATTCAAATGTGTAAGAAGAACTCCATTTTAGTCTGTTTATTAGAAGTATCTCACATAGTGAAGGGATAGTATCATTTACTGGATAACGTTTCGGACACAATTTATTGTCCATATTCATATCACGTAACTCCACAACTTCGAGACAGACTTTATATATTCCTAATCTACTCTCTCCTTTTCTATGATGACAAATCCTACTCCAAAGATATAGTTCCGATATTGAGATGACACATTTACAGTACTGAAATCAAAACACATCAATAGGTTCTTGGCACATATAAATTCAGTAATGAATGCAATCCAATTCACCTGTGACTTAGAAAGTGATGAAGATGAGCCAGCAATGTTGGACTGTAATATAAAACGAACACAAGAAGGAAATCTAGAGACTAGTGTCTATAGGAAACTTACTCATTCGAATCGCTAGTTAGACTTCGAATTCTCCCACCCCATTTCAGTTAGAGTAGGTCTAGTTAAATGCTGTGATAAGGCGAAAAAGCTCACTAGTAGACCAGAAAATCTGAGACAAGAAATTAGACACATCAAGAATACCCTGAGTCTCAATAATTATCCACGAAAATTTATAAATAAATTCATAAGAAATCGAAAGAAAAATGTTAGCAGTGGTAGTAGTAGTAGCAGTAATACAGGTGTTATTAATAATAATTCCACTACTAACGGTAACAATGGTGAGAGGGTTAAGAGAGAATGCAAGGCTTCTTCTGTGTTACCATATGAGGAAGGCACCTCAGAAGCACTACGAAGAATTCTCAATAAGGATGAGTGGGATTAAAGTGGCTGGCATTTAAACCAACAAACCCGCTTAGAAACAAGATCCCATAGATGCAATTAAGCAAAATAATCTCATTTACTAAATCCCTTGCAATGATTGCGAGGTCAACTACATAAGTTGGTCAAAGTAGTCGACCAGGATCGATTAGAATAACAGAGCACAAAGCCTATCTGAATCAAGATTAGTATATCTTAACAAGATAAGAAATTTAGAGAAAAGCTCGGTTATAGCTCTGCACGCAGTTACATACAATCATATAATACGGTAAGATAGAGTGACGGTATTAAAAATTAACTTAGTTGGGTGGAGGGAGAGATTGGCTACAGAATCTGCGTTTATCGAATCAACGCCAAATACACACAGTAACAGGAATGACTCTGCACGTGTCACAGATATATGGAAAATTCTACTATCCCTGTCATCATAGAGAAGGAGAGAAAATTAGGACAATGTAAACTCTTTCTCGAAGTTGTGGAGTCACTTAGTATTGAATATGGAGAATAAATAAAGTCTGAAACATTATCCATTGAATGATATTGTTCCTTCACTGTGTGACATTTCGAATAAACAGAGTGAAATGGAATCACAATCGACCATATTGCCCAAGTTTTACTCTTATATTAGTGAAAGAAGAATATTTTTTGGATTAACACTGAAAATAGTATTCTGTTGTCACCTAATGTTGTCTAACTAACTCTCAAATCCGACCACTTCTATGTGTACATTTAATTCACCTGGACTTGTGAAGCCAGGGATATACGTCGTCCGATATGAGTATTATCCAAAAGATCTTACGAATACCATCCCATATAGTTACAAAAAAGTAATAATGGATTACTAAGAAACCTGATAATCGAATACATTAATACAGATTATCCTATCTGAAGAACTTCTTCATTCAAAGTCATTTATACAGTGAAAAGAAGCCTTCCAAAGGCAACGCCAAACCCCTTATCATCTATATGAAGAGAAGTGAGGTTTGTATGCGAACGAAAATTATTCATAGTCCCCTCTTCCTTTTCGTGGTCTTAATTTATAGTACTTGAAATCCTTTTTCTTTGCACCCTCAATTATCTTGAGGACCTGAGTGATCAAGTAGTAGTAGTCTAACCTCTTCCCTATGCAACTCAAACAAACCAGTCAGAGAATGTATGGATTCATGCTACATTTTTGACTGGCCACATTCAGCCTTTTTAAAACATAATCATACTTCAGATAAGATAGCGCTTCAAAGCAGCTAGTTGGGAATACGCAAAACATGTTTAAGCCACTTCAATCGGTGAACAATTCACAATTTTGTTGACTGACTTACCTGTTTGCATAGCACTCTTCGTCTAACCTCGACCTTTGATCAAAGTCTATAACTTCTGTATACTGTCAACTTTCAATGATCACGTCACATAGCCGTATAACAGAACAGAGAGAACAACAGCACCGCATACTTGTCTTTCAATAGGTAGTCGGATGTATACAAATGTCACCGGTGGCTGAGATGATGCAGGTTGGAGCCAAATTAATCTTTTGTATTCAAGCTGAAATTTCGTCAACAACCAACCTATTCAGGTTGATGCAACTCCCAAGTAAGTGAAGTGGTCAGCGTATTCTCCCACTTCACTACCTATCTGTAAACTGGCAGTAACTGCAGATCACTTCTGAAAAATCATCCTACATATAACATTCGCAAAGTACATGCTCAACGTAATTAGATTTCTGCTCCAAGTATTCAGAAGATTCAAAAAATTGTCAACCTCTTTATCTAGAAGGGTAATATCGTCTGTGTAATCTAAGTCAACTAGATGCTCTCTGGGGAATAGGTCAGTCGGCGTGAAGTCAGAGATAATTATGGTTTAACCTATTTGTACGCTTGGTTCCTGACAATGGGCGCCGCTGGTAGACACCACTGTCTGTCGTATATTCGGTTAACACCTCCTCCTTGGAGTGGACAGTTTGCATACATGAGTAGCTGTTCAGACTACTATTAAATAACCTGGGCAGTATTAATGATGTGTGAAGAAAAGTTATTCCCCAGAGTAAAGAAGTTCAGAAACAAAGTACACAAAATAAAAACATACCTTTGCTTTCGATTTAATATACGTATGTCCAAGTAATTCTCTAGCTGACAACCGTTGACCAGGATCTTTCATAAGGCAAGCTTTGGTGAATTTTCGAAATTTATGTCCATAATTTAAATATTGATTGTTGACTGTGGCTACACTGTCAATATCTGGTGGATCATTTTGTAGCGTAAGCATAAGCACCTTAGAAAGGGAGGGGAGGCGTAAAAGATAAAATATGGAAAAAAGGAGTTATATAGAATGAAGAGAAATGAGATGTAGCCAGTAACTATTTGCATATTCGTACAATAGGCAAGTGAAGTGGGAACCAATCTTCTCCAGGATCAGGATCAAGACAGCAAGATTCAACTCAAAAGGAAGGAAAGTCACAATCATTCAATGCTACGCGCCAATAAATAATGCAGATGAAGAGAAGAAGGAGGGATTTTACAGACAACTGCAATCAGTACTAGACAAGAATCCAGTTAGGGACATCAAAATTCTAATGGGCGACATGAATGCCGAACTCAGAGAGGACAACACAGGAAGAGAACTCATCAGATGGCCAGAAAGAATAAGCAACAAGGAACTCTGGCCGGTAACGAACCAACCAAGAATCTGTCGCCCAACAAATATGTAGAAGAAAGTGGAAATGGATTGGGCATACACTGAGAAGGCCGACTGGGGACATCAGGTGCCAGGCACTCGAGTGGAATCCACTGGAGAAACGAGGAGTTGGGACTCCGAGGCGAGGTGACATGAAGATCATATGAGGAAGAAATGAAAGCTTATGGGCCGTAGTGGCGCCAGGTTGAGAAGAGAGTGGAATAGAGGCGTGGTACTGAAGCCCTATGTTCCACTAGGAACCCAAGGGAAAATAATAATGATAATAATGAAATGAAAGTGGAGTTAACCATCGAAACAAATGGTTGGAAAAAAGTTGCTTTCACTTTCGCACTGAAACATCAACGATAAACTGAGAAATGCTTACTATACATACGACAGAAATTTATCCTATTCTTCACTTCTTTACTTTTCATAATATACTTATCATTTCTGAAATGGAGCTTTCAAATATCGAGGGATACTGATTGGTTGTCTCAAGGTCAGTAGACAAATTATTGGTTGACGTCGCTATTTTTTTTATCTCCAACCTCATATAACAACGCTAGAAATTTCTAAATGAGATAACAGAATTCTTAAGCGTATTAAGTAATTTTTTCTACTTAATGGCTTATTTGAACCAGTGGACGTAAACACTGAAGAATCTTTGTTTACTAATGGTTCTTCAAGATGACATAGAAGAATTTGACTGACTGACGAAATCAACGTAGAACCTTGGCACAGGATTGCATAGGCTCAACTTACCCCACTCCATAGTTGAATACAAAGAACAGGTGCATAGAAAAGGAGTGATATTGAAGTAGACAAAGTTGTATGAGAAAACAATCAATTTGAAGATGACTGTTTTTCCCTCCGATAATTTATCTCCTTCACTTATCAGTTTGTTTGGATAGTTGTTACCATAGGATTGCATAACTATTACTACTAATCTTTAATCTTATCCCACTCATTCGCGAACATTCCTCAATTTGTTCTGTCCTATAAGTAGTTTGACTGAATTTATCACCTAGACTTCTTTTGTCTCCTGGATTATTATGTTTTCCTGATCTTTATAACATTCACTAGGATTTTAAGACGCTTCAAATATGGTATATTAATATTTGTTACAGGGATTATTTACTTATTTATTCAGGTTGTGTGCAGCTGATGAAAAAACCCTATGAGACGAAATCATGTCATTTTATTCTGCAAATAGTATTCTTATTACACCGGTTGATGTTAAGCTCTACATTTCCTAGCATACTAAACAAATAATCTTACTGCCAATAATAAAATGAAAATTAGGATAAATTGGACAGAACTTACCTTCATTGGCGCAAATTTTGCATAAGGAGCCTGACCAGTGGCCATTTCAATTGTTGTAATACCTAATGACCAGATATCCGCTTTTTGATTATAACCACGAGCCTAAAATAACAATTGAAAGTTTTTTTTATCAATTCTCTTGGGTTTTAATAATAAGTAATGATGCGTATTGGTTTAGAGAGTTGACTTTCAATCATTGAGTTATGAGTTCGAGACCCGCTCAACTAACCGGGGTTTGTGTAGCTAAGTAGTAATATTATTAGCTCTCTCACACATTAGGTGTGCCTAATTGCCTGTTGATGAGTGCATTTCAATCAAGTCGATGAGCTGGCTTGGATATATGCTACACATTATCTTAAGATACTATCACCCAAGTTCGACATGCTCATGGCCAATTAGGTTGAGAAAAAGCTAAGAGCGGTGACATCAAGGTGAGAGAAACCAGTCCATGAAATTTCCAACTGTTCACATGAATCTCGTAGGATGGCTGATTGGCTGCTTCATTCTCAAGATGTTATGAATCAGTGATTGTACAGTCTTTTGGCGACAAGGTTGAAAATCCATCACAATTATACAGACCACATTCACTCTTTATCGTCTTCGAGAATTCAAAACAGCTTACCAATTTGAAAGAATTATATCCTTCTTACTTCCTCCTTTGATATTTCATCTTGAAGGCTGTTTATCAAGCGTGGTAATTGAATCCGGATTTATGACCAAGAGATTATGAGTCATTAATCTATATTTCACTGCTCCGACAGATTCGCTGACAGAATTAGGAGGGCGGTTAACACTTCCCGGCTATATACACCGTGGAAGGTTAGATCTTATTGAGATACCTGAAGGAGAAGGGTTAGTGCGTGACCGCGGATCCCAGAGGACATCTGTTTGAGGCCGGTTACGTACGCTCTTTGTGATGCCACGAAAATCGGCCTGTATTGAATTATGCAAGGTGTTGTCATACGTACGTCCTGTGGTTTTAGATCACTACTAATCACTGATGACTGATCTAAGCCATCATAGTGCATCATTTCTTTGTTTAAGGATATGTGTTAAAGGTAAGGGTAACTGCTTTTTGTCTAATCATTATCCAACAGACCCTTCTAGTATGGTAAGATCTCGAGGGAACAAGTGTTCCACTAGCATAGCTCGTTGGGTCATCGTGATATACAAGCCAGACCACCAAATCAAAGTAGCAACTATCAGTCAGGAAACTTCAGAAACTCCAAAATGACATCTTTTCCCCGTGCATCAGACATACTTTTAGCTTAGTTCATAGACAAAATTTAACAAACTGAGTTCACTTCAGAAAGTTGAAACAAGTAATCCTTATTATGAATCTAGATAGTGTAATTGGAAAACAGAGTTTATCTGAACAATATGTGATGTTTTCCTGCGCAATACACATTTCAAACAATCTGATCAAACATTTACTTAGTAAAGGTTGAATGGGAGCATCATAGAAAAAACAATCAAGATAATAGGGGGATTAAAATTCAGAAAAATGAGAACAAACAGGAAGAGTGACATACTTGATCCTATTCTTGGTAAGAAAATAAAGTTTACCAAGAGGTGGGTGTAGTGTAAGCACAAATTGCATTTGTACACATAAAAATGGTTTCAATTTGTGTATAGCTATGGCTTCTACAAATCTCAGTATACGTCCTTGTCTAACTGTTTCTATATAAAACCTTGAAAGCTATTTGAACATTAAGCATTCTGTGACCTGTTTCTATGATATGTTTAGTTATAGATTAAGATGGTCATCTCCCACCAGCGTTTATCAAGGTTTCACACTCCATCCATTTTTAAAGCCATTTAGTTACATGTTCTCCCACCCTTATCAACTGCATAGCTCGATTCCTCCTCGCTATGTATATGTGACTACGCACACATGTAAATTGGTACATACGATGGAATGTGACGTAATCACAGATGGAGTGCTTAGGTTTGTGGCGAAGTATATCTTCCGTTCTTACCACAATGATGAGATTAGCTGGGTAATATGTTTTCTTAATAGGTGATGTTTGCCTCCGTCTCAAAATAATACTATCCAACTCCCCTCTGTATGGCAGAATGAAATGGACGCTTATGTTAGGAACTGTGTATAGAGTTGGCTTCAGCGTTACCTGACCTCTACAACGGTTTGTAAATCCCAACGGATAATTTTTTCGTAGGCGTTTTGGTCAGCAATTTGACATCTTCATCCACCTGTCTGTTGCACACAAATACTATGGATCCTATATTGCGCAGGTATTTCATTAGACCTCACTTGTAATGGATAGGATAAAAACTGTGACAATTCAGAAACTTTCCTGTTCATGAAGGCTTTCTATACGTTGATCGTATTATCGAAGCATTTTCTTGCCATATGAAAAGTAAATCTGAGAATGACAGATGATGATTATTCTCTCTCTCACAAGTCACGATGATACAACTTTTTAATACTTAAACCCGATCAATTATCGTCCTGGGGGAACACTACTCATTATAGCAGGATGTTATATATATATATATATATATATATATATATATATATATATATATATATATATATAAAACTTTTTTCATCTTACAATAATGAGCACTAGGTAAATTCAATTTAGAGGTTTCTGGGGATTTCATGGAATGACATAGTTAGAGGAACACTGGAAACCTGAGAATACTGGACACTTGTTTCGTCCTGACATGAGACTCCTCAGCAGTAAGCACCCATGACCCCGACTTCTAGGGATCGAAACTAGGACTTTCAGGTTCCATGGCCAACAACGTTACCATTAAGCCACTGGATCCGAATCCAGTGGTCCATATTTCCTATGTCTGTCAGTTCACGATGTAGCGCGACGTTTATTCAACGCCGTCATATAGTGCCTGTCTTCGTATTCGACTAGGAACTATAGGCCATTGGATTCCGATCCAATGGCTTAATGGTGCGTTGCTGGTTAGGGGACCTGAGGGATCTGGCTTCGATCCCGGAGGTCAGGGTCATGGGTGTGCACTGTTGAGGAGTCTCGTACTGGGATGAAACAGCTGTCTAGTACTTCCAGGTTTCTAGAGTGTTCTTCCAACGAATGTCAGTCCATGATGAATAGAGATTAAATAAATAATTCCGGGAGTAATTATAAACCACTCTGTGAATATTGCAGGCTATAAGCAGCTATACGATACAATCCTGACAAAATATATTTAATGCACTAATAAAGTAGATATATGCTTAAATTTGGGTTTCGGGAGGATTCGAACCAGTGACCACTGGTTAAATTTCCGCCTTGGTTCTCTACTAACTGAGCTACCTAGAAACTCAACTTCTGACCACAGTTTTATTTCATTTCAATTCAAACCTTGGTGACTAAAATAGCATTACAACCTATCACAGTGCCAAAGGTTTACTCTTATATTAACATCGTAATACACTTTGATTGATTGAGGTTGCAGATGAGTTTTGCTGGTACATGTCTGTGTGTGTGTATGACGCTCAACTAGGCTGAAGTATCTAGGTTCAAGATATTTTATTAATTGCCTGAAAACATCTAATATGACTCACTGGTGTGTAATAACCAGAAAACTGACAGAAATATGTGAATTCCTCACTAGTACATAATTGATGTAGTTGTCTAGAGTTCATCGACAGAGTTCCTAATGTAGCCAGTGAGCTAAGTAACTCTCAACACTACACTACAGTGCACTATGGTATGTTGGGAGCTAGGTATTGAGAATCAGTTAGCAAGAAGCCCTGCTCAATCAATGTTTATTTATTGTTGGCATTCATTAGTCATCTGCAACTATGATGAAACTGGTGTCCCCAAAGTGATTCGAATCAGTGTCCTTTGGTATTGATGTCAGGCCGCAACTGACCTTTCTGTAGGACTGGAGTAAGTAAACGAATGGGTCGTCAGTTGGTAAGTGATACAATTCTAAATTCACTCAGCAACCATATGTACATTCGTGGTGCACACAATGCAGCCACACACCTCACTGAAGCATAGTAGACTCGATTTTTTGCGACTAGTTAACAGTTCCGACGGCATTGAAGGTGATAACCCATATTCGCAAATTCCTTTGTAACTTTGATCATGCTAAAAGTGATCTCCTTTATCAAACTCTCATAGGGACGAAACCATCTACACAGTCAAGACCAAATGCCCTTGCGTCAGACAACAACAGGCTCAGACACATGCATGTAGGCATGCAAAAATAGATACCATTAAACAACTCGTTCAAAGCTGTCTAAAGTGTTATCACCAGTGGAGTAATGCAATATTATCATCATCAATTTATGCAAAAATTCAGAAAAGTAACTTATTCATGTTATACGTTTCACAATTAGGACATAAGGTTGACGTGTGGTGAGTAATGTTGAAGCTAAGTGTAGACTGTTAAGCAAATCAGGCAAACCAGTCGACGGGACTTTTAGACTTTAACTGACTGCTGGGTTATGGGTGTGCACTGCTGAAGAGTCCCATGCTAGAACGAAACAACTGTTTAGTACTCCCAGGTTTACAGTGTTCCTTCAACGAATGTCAGTCCATGATGAATACCAACTTGAATGCTAGGTGTTGTTACAAGTGGCTAGCAGCCATCAACTATCCAAATGTGCAATGCTAACGGTAGTGCAGTTAGGTTGTTGAAAGGCTAATAGTGATCAGGTTATGAACAGACGTCAATCTTTGAAGAGTCTGGCTGTGTAAAAAGGAAGGTGCAGGCTGTCTGGTTAGCGCCCTCAAGATGTCAGAAATCAATGGATATAGATTCTTCAGTAATACACTGAAAAAACGTTTTTCATCTTCCAGAATTTAAGAACACCATTCCTCGTTATTTTGCGATTTCGCTTCTCCATTAGTTATATCACTTTTCTATTAACTTTGATAATTTCCTTCCCTATTTTTGTTCCATTTCGCTTGTGTTGTTGTTGGGCTTTTGAAGTATAGAGAAAAGCGGAAATGTAGCATTTTCGGAACATTCCTTTATACCTTGTAAATGACTTTCCATGCAGACAAACAGACAGACAAAATCAACGTAGAACCTTGCACACAAGTCCATCGGCTTAACTTTCCACACTTCATAGTAGAATACTAAGAACAGGTGGATAGAATAGGAGTGATATCAAAGTCGACAAAGTTGTGTGAAAGAAGAATAAACAATCTGCACCACCATTGTGACCGATTTTCAGACATATCACCAAGATTCAGTCTTCAACCACTGATGCCTTACTTCTGGAGAACCCCAGTCACGTAGTATGCATCTCCCAGCAGTCAGAGACTTTATCAAGTGGTGCTAGGTTTTGGTCAGACCACCCTGAACCCTCCTCCATCCTAATCCAACTTCTTGTAGCATGGTACGCTAAGGTAGGCGGTGGCTCAAGACACCCCAGTCGATGAAGGTTCACACCCTCATCAATAGACTTCTCCGTCTTCCATAGTACCCTTCACCTGACCTCAACACTGCACCCACGATGATTCCACCAAACGTGATCATTGCGACGAAGATACCTATGATCGAAACTCCGTACCCGGTTCATGTCTTCTCCTCTTAACGGTCACATCTCACAGACGTACGACAGCGCAGTATACTCATCCTTAAATAGGTAGTCGTATGCCTCGCCAGTCGACATCACAGATAACACAATTTGGTAAATGCTAAACGAGCCTTCTATATCCAAGTTGAGATCTCGTCAACAACCAACCCGTTTGACCTCATGCAACTATCCAAGTAAGTGAAGTGGTCGATGCATTCCACCAAATCACATCGCATACTTTAACTGGGAGTATTTTCAAAGCATCATCCTGCATTTGACAGGTGCGCAACGCATGCCAAACATACTCAGATTTCTGCTCGACGCGCTCACAAGACCCTGTCTATATTTTGTCTTCGCCTTCACCTCGTAGAACAACATCAGCATACTCTAACCCGACTAGATGACCTCCCTGTGAAGTCACAGGTACTATTAGTACATCTATGATGAAGTTAAAAGGGAACAGTGATAGTGGACATCCCTGGCGAACACCACTAGTTTCCACCAACTCTTCATAAGCCCTGACACGGCTGTATGAGTTCGAACAGAGAGATTTGATTAGGATTATATACTTGCTTGGTACTCTCTTCACGGTCAGACACTGTCACAACATCTCGTGGGGAATCATTTGTTGACAAGTTGCTTAATCATCCCACTTCTGATAGATTTGCTCAAAAGGTTTTTCTGTCTAGTGTAATTCTGTTATATTTTATCACACCGTATGTTTCTATTGATCACGCTTTATCTTGAAAATTATTACTACACATAATACAACTTGATATTCCATCTCGTGTTATGTTGACCTATCCTTACACTCTCGCGTGATCCACCTTCACCACCTTACATTATATAAGTGATTTTTAAAATCTTCCTTTCAATGTTTGTTACTAGGTCTAGTTGAATAATAAAAAATTCACTTACCTGTTGCATAACTTCTGGCGCCATCCAACAAGGTGTACCAACAAATGTATATCGTCGTAGGTCAACACTACCAGTTGCCGTAAGTGGTTGAGTGGCTAAGAATCCAGCTACACCAAAATCTGCAATCTGAATAATTCCATCATCTTTGACTAAGAGATTACCGCATTTTAAATCACTAAATTTTTTTTAAAAAAAAATTCGGTAAAATATTTTTTAGACAGAGAAGACTACAATTCTGTTTAATTTTAAGAGATGTACTTTTGATACGAAAGTATATGTATTATTGGACAAAGATATCACCTTATCATTGAGATGTTTCACTCTAGTGTTGGAGGTAATTTGAGGGGAATACTGATAAGCTAACTGGCAGTATAGTCACAACTAGTTATTCGTTAAAACAATTTTGTGAATAAGAGGAGAAAAAGTTTTCGTTTTTTTCCATAACACTTAAACAACTTCTCAGTATAACTTCAAGTCAACACATCATATATAACTGTTGACGATCATATAACACGTAGATATAAGAGATCTTAGATTTCTGAAACTTTTCAACAGTACTCACTTTCAGAGCATAAAACCATCATCATCATCATCATCATCATTACGAACATATGACCAAGCATTACTGCGTAACAATCCAACTTGTCACATCCCATATCAGCGCATCAAGTAACAAGGTAATAAAATGGAAGATGAAGAAGGAAATGAAATCCGGTCAAAGGAGGTAGAAGTAATAAGTAGTGAGAGAGAGGAAGGAAAGGTTCTGAGCCATATTACCTACAGTCAGTCTCCAACCACTGGCTTCTCTTGTCCCGCCGACCCCAACCGGCTGGTCTGCATAGCGCTATATGGTTCATACCAACAGTCAAACACTTTGTACTTTGGTGTCATGTTTTAGTCTGGTCGTCTCGAGACTTTTTCCAGTTTGAACTTACTTCGGCCAACATTGTGTGATAGAGCAGACGGTGGTTAGACATACGTAAAACATGTCCCAGTCATCTCAGTCCATGAAGGTTCACAGACACATCAACTGTCTTACTTCTTCTGTCTAAAACTCTACGTCTGACTTTTGCGTTACTCACATGGTGACACCACGAAACACGACCTATGCTACGAAGGCAGCAGTGGTCAAACACCTGAAGTCTTCTCATGTATTCCACCTTCAATAGCCATGTTTCACAGCCACACAGTAGAACAGAGCAGACTGTAACACAGTTCACTCGACCCTTAACAGACAATTGGATATTATGGCGGCCTCACAGATGACATAAGTTGGCAAAAGCCAACCGAGGCTTTTGTGTTCCTGCAAAGATTTCGTCGCCCATTGACCAACGCACCAGGGCTGATCCAACTTCCTAGATAAACTGCTTAGCAAATGTGCATCTGTGTACCAACAGTCAAGTCAGTGAACAACAAAATGTACTCATTTCTACGAGTTTTGAAAATTCTGCATTTATTCCATTTTCTAAGTGAATCATAACTTTGTTTGTTTGATGCCCGATGATGTCTTATTTGTAGCTTAGTTGTTTATATGAGGTATTTAAGTCTTTTCCTATTTCTTGACAATAGGTAATATGACCTTATTAGATGATCTTAGCCAGAAGCTCATAGTTTCTACAGTCTACCATTTTCATAGGTCCGCATTTCAGTTGTTCCACTTAACTGTTGACACCGGCTAGATGCTTTATAATACTACTGTTGTATCCTCTTCAACTTACTTAATCGTTTGACCTGTTCTACTGTTATTCCTTATTCGATCTGTTGAAATCCCAGTTCGTAGATGAAGATACTTATTTAAGAATAGTTTGGTACTTTATGCATTGAATTTTAAAAATATGATGGTGTGCGCATAATGCTTCATTCTGTGCAATTTAGTGGGTTTATCGACCAGTCTTCAAACACGAAGACCATAATTTTCATTCATGTGGTGAAGTATTAGTTCCATTCCAGATTGTTTATTTGCTGTAGCCCCGTATTCATTCATCTGATATGAATATAGATAATAAACTGTATGCGAAACCTTATCCAGTAAATGATACTATCCCTTCACTATGTGACATTTCTACCAAACAGACTAAAATGGAATAACAATCTACCACACTGCCCAAGTCTTACTTCTAAATTAACACAGCAGAGGTTTTCAATCCTCAACCCCGTTACCATTATTGCTATTAGTAGTAGTAGTATTATTAATAACACCCGTATTACTACTACTGCTGCTGCTAATATTTTTCTTTCGATTTCTTATGAATTTATTCATAAATTCTGGTGGGTAATTATTGAAACGTAAGGTATTCTTGATGTGTCTAATATCTTGTCGTAGATTTTCTGGCCTACTAGTAAGCCTCTCCGCCCTATCACTTGAGCATTTAACTAAGCCTATTTTAACTGGGATGGGGAGAAGGGGATTTGAAGTCTAAGTAGCTACGATCCGTTTATAGTGTTGAAATTGGAACGTATACAGTTTCTTCATACATATAAACTCAGTAGCCAACGCAATCCCAACCACCTATATGAATAAAACGGAAACAAGATGAGCGTTTAGACACCAGTGTCTACAGAAAACCTTCAAATTCAAACTGTTACTTAAACTTCAAATCATCTTACCCTATTTCAGTTAAAGTTGGCTTAGTACTGTCTAAATAACGTAGTTAAAAAATTAATGGTAAAACAGATCTAAGATAAGAAACCAGATACAATGAAGACACCTTACTCACCAACAATTATGCTACCAAATTAAATTAATAAGTTCCTTAGAAATCGTAAGAAAAATATTAGTAACACGTGTTAATAGTAGTAATAGTAGTGTTATTAATAGTAGTGGCAATATCATGGAGAGAGAATTCAAAACCTCTACAATATTACCATACAAAGAAGGCGCCTCAGAAACACTACGTAGGATTAGAGTAGCATTGAAACCGACAAATTCACTTAAAAATAAGCTTTGTAGGTTAAGGGGATCCCATTGATCCAATTAGGCAGAATAATTTAGTTCACCAAATCCCTTTCAATGATTGGTCAGTCAAAATAGTCGACTGGGGTCAACTGGGCTATCAGAAAACAAAAATTTAGCTAAACCAAGATTTGTAGACCCTAACCAAGCATGCCATTTATCGAATCGACCCCAAATACATGGAAATAATAGAAATGATTCTGCACCTGTTCCAGATATATGGAGAATTCTACTAGTCTTGTCATCACAAAGAATGAGAGGAAATTAGGACTCTATAAACTGTATCACAAAGTTATGGAGTTACCTGACATGAATATGGACAGTTGTGTCCAAAATGTTATCCAGTCAATAATACTGTTTCTTCACTGTGTGGCATTTTTAATAAACAGACTAAAATGGGACGCTATGCAGTCATCCACAAAAAGCATTTTGGTTCACATTGTTTCTCAAGTACTATTTAGTAACTTTGAACACATAACTTGAAATTACCAGATAACAGATTTGAACTCTACCGAAAATATATGAGCAGCCTACAACTTAGTACAACATAAATCTCTCCGCGTGATCACTAAGATATACTTGCTCTGCTCTGTTCGCCTCTTTCTCTCTCTTTTCATTTAAAAATTACAATGCGAAAACACTTGCCACAGTATCGTCTAAGAGGAGAATGAAACTTTTAAAGAAAACGCTGGAAAACAATATATATACACACACACAGACGTCTGCCTACCGATGAACTAGACCATTTTCATGTATATATGCCAATCCACGCAGAACATCTCTCAAGATTGTAGCTATTGTATTTTCATCGAAGACACCATAGGTGATATCTCGTTTATTTTGCGTATATTTGATAACGTCCAGTAATGAACCTACAAATTTAGACAAGAACACAAAGATATTCCTTACCATAGTAGTGGTAGTATGAAGTAGGCATAAGTAATGTAACACTGATACTAACTCTATGTAATTAAAACACTGGTTCGAAACAAAACATGCACTTAAAAAGAACCATGAGTCTAGAATGAAACATATATTCTTTTTAATAGTCAACCGATATCTCAGTATTTGTGAAATTAAGTTACTCGAGGTGAAACAAACTAGGTATACATCTTAGTATTAAAAGAAATCTCATTCACTCGTTGGTTTCTAGAATACGTAAAATCTCTCCAGAAGACATAATGGATGTTGAATAATGGATACCCTAGAAGATTTATTGATAAAAAGGCTTTTAAAAAATTACTTTCTCAACCCATTTGAAATTTAAAGGGGATACCATAACTGAAGTGTTGAAAAGCCATCTGTCGAAGTATAACAACAGTACCTTTTATTCTGCTAGAGTGAGACTGATATTTTCGAGCTGTGCCTGATTTGGCGATGCGTGAAGGATAGACTGCCACTTATGTTCACATCTATGCGTATCTGCAAATTCATATGCTCTTGTAGCGCTGAGTATGTTGGACGTTGTAAGTTGGCCCTCCGAAAACGTATTGCTGAACATTACTTAGTTTGACTTACCAAAGGCGAGCGAAGAAAAGTAACTTCATCCATATGGGAACATCCAGTAAACTTAAGCCATTCAGGTTGTCGAGATTCATCCCTTAAGGGAATTTTCAAAGCTAAGTTGAACTACACCAAAGGTCTACGTTTCCATCATTTATGCATAGCTGAAGTATTAGCTATACAAACACGAACAACAACCAAAACTATGCATTCAAGAACATTTTATGGAACCACCTTCCCTCTTATTTTGGTTAGCTTGTCAATTTCATTTCATATCCGGCAGTATTGAGGGGCCTGCATAGGAGCCCATCTCCCAACACCAGAGGTCGAGCAGTTTGGCCCTGTACGGAAACGGGATATTACAAGTATCAGTACAACAACTGAAACCCGTTGCATAAGAGGTGGCTATCGTTCCAAAGTGGCTTAAGGGATAACGCTCTTGTATTTGAAGCGAAAGGTATTGGATTCGAGTCTCAGTGGGAACAACACTCCGTAATGGGGTGCAGGTACATCCAGTTGACGAGTCCCAAATAGGACAGAACCCGCGTCCTGGATTCCTCTGCTAGTCAATAAGATCAATATAACTTCGTTTCACTCCACTTTTATCATCATTTTAAACTTCATTGACAGCATTTGACCCATATTTCACCACTTGTTTTATCATTTCGTTTCTTGTTTAATGACTTATTTTCTATTTCTCCCCCATGAACATATCCCACTACCACTAGCATCAATTGTATCATAAGCATATTGACTGAGAAACTTTTTTAGTGCATTTATCTAACATTTTACCGGTTATAAATGCGACTGTACAGTTTGATAATGAAGTCGTTGAAAAGAAATATTCCTTCTTCGTTGATTTCTTGTCAGTTAAACCAGGTGTACCCACTGGTAAACTCAGCTTCGAACAAATGAAATAGCTATTCTAAGTACAAGAGATTGAATATCTCAACCTATTTCTAAAAAAGAATTTCATTAATTGATATGTGATTTCAACTACTCATGTCGATCAGTAGTAGTGTGGTGGGTGCTGCTGATAAGAATGGATATAAGTAGTATATAGTGAGAGGTGGGCAGAAGTCATAGGTAATTAAAAGCGATGGGTAAATATTCTGTATACAGAAATGTAAGAGACAACGTGGATGTGTGAAGAGCAAAACGAGGTCGTAGGAGAGAAAATGAACCACATTATGTAAATGGATATTTTAATGAAAAGGTTACCATATTTCATCAGTAATCTAAGAAATGTCATAATAAACATTCTTCGGCCTTTCATCCTTTGCCGTCTTCTTATAGCAGTAGTAGTACTAGTAGTGTGTGATCATCCATAAACAGTGAGTGGGTGGGTAAAGCATCCGCGTAATTCAATGGAATTACAATCCTTAATTCAATAGTATTTTTTTAATGAGACATTCATAAATATTCACTTGCATTAGATAAATGGCATGCCAATTATGTCTTAAAAACCAATTATGAAAAGATTTTAAATAGTGGAAGATGAGAAGAGCATAAAGCACATCTCAGCGTAAGACTTAATGACTTATTACTACTTATTATTAAGATATAGAACCAAAGTTAAGTCAGGTGTCCAGTGCATGAAAAAATTATGAGTTAGAATAAGCATAAGTCACCCGTTGAATTTCATGATGCAATGTCAACTGATTTTCATACAAACCTGTTCATCATGAAATCTATCATCATTTGAAGCAGATATTTGGTTCCATAGCGCTGCAGAGCGAATAATAAATTACGATAATAATAGTAATGATATAAAACCACAGTTATGTGGATATTTTACCACTAGACGGTTAAGAGACACTTCCATGGTGTAAGATTTGATACCACTACCTGAACATCCAACTCCCATGAATAGGAGGTTGGAAATCAAAACCTATTGAGTGTAAATGATCACGACTACCTAATATACATGTGAGTCGTTGAAAGTAGTCGAAACGTTTGTGTATCTGGGTAGTTGGGTGAGAGGAGATAAAGGTGTGAGTGATGAAATTTCTAAACGCACATTGAAAACCAGAGTGGTCTGACCGTAAAAAATTGGGTTTACAACGCTTCAGTACGAACACTTCTGCTCTACACCTGTGAAACCTGACCTCTCCGGACTGAGTATGCGTGACAACTCAGTGTGTTTTATCATCGCCGTCTCCACAGGATTGCTCGTGTTCGGTGGCAACATTTAAGTAGTCCTGAGGTAAGACAGCCTGTGTTTCGGTATGGAGATAGTCATTCAATGAGCAGTCATTTGGAAACACCGACTTTGGTGACTTAGACATGTGTTACGCATGTCGTCTTAACGGCTTCCCTACCTTTCATTGTTTGCTAACCCTGGGACTGAATGAAGGAAGTGAACGGATGGTAAGTTTATAACTTGGCACCATGGGATGAAGGATAATTGAATCGGGTTAGCATCTAGTGGTGCATCACGACTCCCCGAGTGGGATCCGAGAGATCACGTAACTCAGTGTCTTGAGACTTTACCGTATATAGCTCAGAATCGAAACCAGTATCGGTCATACTGTAGCTTCCTTCTACCTTCCGTTGTTTTTGTCCCATACAATGTGGATCTTATCACAGTAATGCATCTGATTAAGATTCCTATGGTCGCAAACAATATACTCGACTTCCACAGTGAATCATGCGTTCGAATGTCGCCCCATTCACTGGGGTCGGTGCAGCAAAGTAGCATCATCTTCATTTTAGTTCAAATCAACCCGGTTTGGGCCTATAAACAAGACTGGTAACCAAACCTATGCGAGAGTACATGATACTACCCAGTAGTCCAGACTTAAGTAGGTACAGTGAGATTTGAACCCGAGAGTCAGTGCTTGAAAGTAGGATTCTTAAATCAATGCGCCCCATCACTGTTGTACCATTAGCTCCTACACAATAGATGTGGCCTATCGCCTACTGCACGAAAATGAAGTTGATTGTTGAGTTACACGATAAGCAACTTTGATGTGAGATGCGAACTTGCCAACGGCAAAGTACGAAGTCTGTTACTCTAGCCTAGGAAGATATGGTCATATTTCACTCATAAAAGGCGAACAGCAGCACTGAGGAGTACGAGAAAATGGACCCAACGAACTAGATGACACCTTGAAAGAGCAAGGAGACCGGTTTTCTACGTCCTATTATGCTTTTGTCTGTTTTACGCACATTTTTTTTTCTAAGGGTATTATACTGCATTTGACTATATTATTTTCGATGTATTTCATCTTTCTGTTTTTAGTGCTGATCTGAGGTGTAGCAACTTAGAATATTATCCAGTATTGTTAAGTAGACGTTGACCTTCTGATAAGGAACTGAGGATGTTCTACATACAGTTCCCACAACGAAATAAAGCATCCATAAACATCCAGCCAGCATTTACTTCGGGCGCTCTTTGGAACTTTCGGGAGCTACTTCGGGCGCACTTAGCAACTTTTGGGTATTCCCCCTAAATTTTGCAAATATCTCACTTGGACACTAACTTTTCACCGACTTCTATAACAAAAACACATGTAGCACATAAACATCAAATATTCAGATGAAAATATTACGAATTAGGCCTTCTTATCAGTTGGGATATGGGTTATTACAAATCTTCGGGCGCACTGCAGACACTTTGGGTGCATTGCAGAAACTTAGGACGCACTTCGTGACTTTTGACACTTTCAAGGAAAAGGTTTAGAACATTCGGGAGATATCATGCGTCGCCCGATACGCGCCCGAAGCTAATGCACCCTGCAGGGTGTGCAAAATGGCAACATTCTTGACTGGAAATCTGACATTGTATATGAGAAGCCCAGTAGGTTGAAACACCAGTGCTATTCACTAGTGTCTACCATGACAACGGATCATGGTTGTGCACACCGATCTCTTCAATTTCCAGAGACCCGTACGAGCACAGAAGTGCAGATGATTTATAAAAGTTCAGAATAGATGTTTATAGTTGGATGGACTGCTAGCCTATACCACCTGCAGCACAGGTAAAGTAAAAGTGGATCCTAGAAATCAAGTATGATAACTCATACGGCAACGTTTGGAACGCCACCGTCGCAAGTACAAAATATGACAACGCAAACTCTTGATCATTTCTAGGGAATACGGCATTTAGTTAGCCAATCCAATAAGGTGATGCCAGGGGCAAATTAAACCACTAAATGTCTTGTTACGTTCGACAAGCAAACGTTTCAGACGTGTATGCCCATGTACAGCTACTTATTAGCTCAAAATGAGATGCCAACGAGGAAATCTTCTTGGTCGATCTCATATGATCACTAATTAAAAGAACATGGTACCTCCCATAACTCTTCGATAAAATCAATCGAGTGTCGTAACCACAGAACCTTCGTGTAGAGCGCACTGTGACTCAATGAAGCAACAAAGGTAATGAGCATAACTAATTAATCTTAAAATTACTCATATGAAAGGCAGCTAACAGAAATACTGAACAGGTTAAGTGAGGCTCAAGAGACGTGAAAACATGGAAATTGTCTCTTACTTAGCAATAGGTAATGAAGAAATACCTGCAAGTATTCTATGTTACAAAACACATCGTCAAAAATTTCGTAAACATCTGTTCTTTTAAAAATTACAAACCTCTCTGGCATAAGTCCATAATGATGCATAGTTCTGTTTGGGCAACGAAAGAAGCGTAGTATGCGACTATATTTTCATTCTTCATATTTTTCATAGATTTTATTTCTCTCTAAGTCAATGCTGTAGGAAAGCAAAATTATCACATACATTTATCTCCTCCAAAGAAGCTGATGTGCTGCATTTTTCAAGATTGATTATCTTAATGGCACATTTCTTTCCATTAGAAGGACAAAGAGCTTCAAACACAATAGAAGTTGCTCCTTGGCCTAAAGTTACTGTCAGACGAAGCTGATAACGAACCAATGGACTTTCCAAACTCATATGATGTTTTCGTCATCGGCCACTGGATAGGTGCCTCAACGAGACTACCGGTTGAGCCAACAGTTGACTCTGTCATATTTACAATCCTGTGGACTAAATTAGGCGCATATCGACAACGTTGAAGTTGGGCCACAATAATAGGTTAATTTAAAGATGCCGCAAACACTTAAATTATCAATGACGTCATTGCATAGTTTTCAGTTTTCCGTTATCAGGATAGTAGACCAGTTAGCCTGTATTAATCCTTGCAGAAGATGTCTCTGTGGAGATCTAGTTTCTCCTTGAACCCGCTGACAGAAGGTGCTGATACTACTTGCTGAGGTAAGAAGATCCAGCTATTGACAACACGATGGGAGAAACGCAGATTCAGGCTAAGTTGATTCGATCGCGGTTTTAGAATTTCCTTGTGATGCCCCTGGAGATAGTTGGTCCTAGCAAGGGAGAAAAGATAGGAGATATCAGTACCGAAGTCATTATCAAGAACACGAAATGCCAGTATGAGATCACCCTGTTTCCTACGGTAAGGCAGTGGAAATAAGTTTAGCTGATCTAGTCGTTCCTCATGGGACAGATTCGAAAAACCTGCCACAAGCTTGGTACCTACCCTACGAACACGATCGAGTGCGTCAGCATCCTTTTTCAGACATGGGCTGGCCGCCTGAATACAGTATTCCAAACGAGGTATAACGTAAGCAGAGTAGAGTATTCTAAACATGTCCTCATCAAAACATTTGAAAGCTCGGTGGAAGGACCATGATGTACAGAAGCCCTCTGCTGCAGCTGCATTGCAGCTTGTCGAGGTTTTTAAATCATGACTAATGGTGACACCCAAGTCTTTTATTTCAAGGACTGGAAGTAGTGGTGTACCATCAACGGACTACTGGAAACAATTACCGTGACCAATGTGCATTATTGCACTTTCGTTAGAATTGATTTCCAGGCACTAACGTTTGAACCAACCTACTAGTTCATCTAGATCCGCCTGAAGTGCATACCTATCTGCATCACTGCGTATGGCTCTCCAAACGTTTGCATCACCGGCAAATAACAGTACCGAAGAGTTGAGCATATTTGGCAATTCGATGATGCATAACAAGAAGAGTAATGGACCGGGGATTGTTCCTTGAAGAACTCCACTCACCACAGGTTTCCACCCGGATAGTGTCCCGTTTACCCTACTCTTTGCCTACTATCGTATAAAAAGTCCTTAATCCAAGCTTGCAATGAAGCACCAAAACCGAGGGAGGAGGGCTTTCCTAGAAATTTCACATGCGACACTTTGTCGAATGCCTTACTGAAGTCTATAAACACGGCGTCTATTGGTGGCTTGCAACCACGGGCTGCAACCCATTCTTCTCTTGCAATAAGGAGGTCAGCTAGACAGGAGTGCCCAGTACGAAAACCATGTTGCTATGGTGCCAAAAGATTGCTTGATTCCTCATGTTTAAGTACCCTGTCACGAATTATTTTCTCTAGAATCCTGAAAACTATGCTAGTTAGACACACAGGGAGATAGTTAGACATCGAATGGCGACTACGGTCCTAAAGACTGGGCTGATTATAGCATATTTCCAGTCTCTAGGGTGGCGAGTCTGAGTTAGGGACATACTGAAAGGATCCCTGACTGTCTCAGCAATTATGTCTGCTAGCGAATATAGAAGTCTGGGATGTATCTCATCCAGACCTGGGGATTTTTCAGGTTTAAGGTTAATAAGCGGCTGTAAGACTTTTCCCTTTGTTGTGAACACTGTATCTATTAGTGGAACAGTGCTAACACCACTATTTAGCACTTCATCGTCATGATCTACAGAGAAGAATTCACTAAAGTAATCAGACAGACATTCAGCTTTGGACAGATTAGATTCCTCCAGACTATCAGACTTCTCATCCGTCACCAGAGAGGGAATTCCGCCCTTTCTTTTGATCCCCCTTCTGACGAATGCGAACAGTCTTTTAGGACAATTTCGGCAATCCCTCACAAGCTGCTTCTCGTAGGACATTCGAGACCGTGTAATCAAAGTTTTCCAGAGATTACGGGCTTTACAGTGCTTAGCCTTACATGTTTTCAGTCTAGTTTCTAGAAACAAGTCCCATAAACGTTTCCTCCGCCTTAACGATCTCTTAGTGTGTTTATTAAACCGCGGAGGGTAATGTGAGGATCGTCGTGGAGTCGAAAGTGGAATAAATGGCGTCGTCACCCCTTCAAATGGAGTTCTCAACCTTTTCCATGCATTCTCAGTTGATGAGTCCTCGTCTACAGCCCAATCCCTACTGACCACGCAATCCCTTATACTTGAAATGTCCGGGCGCCATACATTAGGTCTAGGGGAGGCAGTGTCATAATCAAACTCATTAGTCCGAAAATCAAAAGTTGGTACTACATAGTCGCCCTTGGCCAATGGAGGGAATTGTCGTAGATCCAGAATGTCTTCACATTGGTGGGTTAAAACTAAATCTAACAACGATGGCTTGTGTTCAAAATCATAACGTATTGCACGTGTTACGTTCTGAAATAAAGCAGATTCTAAGACCGTCAAAAGCAAGTCATTTTCGACGGATCCACCTGGTGGTGAGACTGTTAGCTCCGTCCAGTTTGTGTGGAGCATTCAGATTCCCAACTATTAGGCATCTGTTGCTTCTACTCCATTTAGGTATATGAGTTAGCACGAAGTCATTTGCAAGGCAGGACGGGCTGCGGTAAATGACCCCTATGGTACAGAAACCATGCTTTGACTTCAGCGCAGCTGGCCACTTCACAGTCCCCACATCCATTTGCTTCGGAAGTGACTAATCGTACGTGGATGTCATCCCGTACATATAAAAGTATGCCGCCATTTTTTCGACACACAACCCTATCCATCCTTACACAGTAATACCCTGCGAGGAGTCGCATAAAATCTAGATCCTTGATTAACCAGGTTTCAGTAAGGGCTACTACGTCAGGACCTAGCTCGCAGATTACAGCCTCAACATCCGTCATTTTGCTTCTAATACTGCGAACGTTAGTGTAGATAACTTTCATTGTGTTGAACGAGTTCCGTGACCCACCCATATAGGTCTTGGAAGCGGATCCTTCCAACCCGAAAACCCACTACTTTAAGATCATTTTCTCCATTAGCTTGTCGAGCCTTAAGTTCGGCAACGCTTCTCCTCTTTCTACGCGGTCCTTGAGGGGCCAGTCAGGTCGGATGCGGATATCCGAATTTCGTAGTTTGGATGCGTTACTCAGGAGTACATGTACTTCATTCTTGTTGCCCAAAACAACCTTCAAAATTTTCTTCTCATCCTGTATCACATCCATTTTCTCACCTAGCCTAACTACTTCAGACATGTGTACCCCTTTAGACTTTTCAGGCAGAATACGTCCGATGACCGACTGGACTAGTTGCAGGTCATGACCGTGACGTATTGAAGCATCTTTGCCTGATGACTCCTCAACATTCCAGAAGATCAAACTGCGCGTTGGAGTGGAATCCTTGATTCGTGCGTTGACGGCCTTTGAAACCTTCTCAATAGGTTTCATTAGCCTAGTATCTTCCATGGTAACCTTTGGCAGTCTCCTTGGATGCTTTCTTGGAGAAGTCCGTGTATATTCGTTGACCACTTTTACAGAGTCAATGCTGTTATCAGAGATGCAGGCTTTCGGTGAATCCTCAGACATTACGGTTGGTGCACTATTTGTCTTTGGCTTTCTCTTGAGTCGAGTACGCTTCGGAACTGGTATAATTTCATCAAATGGATCACCAGCATTCATGGGTCCACTGAGAGGTCTTGTGTCAGATATATTAGCGATAGCACTTGCAGCGTCATCATTCGATACCACGGTAGAATGACAGCTATCATTTCCATATAACTGTTTTTTGACAAGTAAATTTTCAGCAGCTTCCTGCGTTAGGGTTGGCAACGGCTTGCAGCAGAAATCACACAATCAGGGAGAAGCTGGTTTGCTGCAACGCTTGTAAACGGTTGGTGTCAATCCTGTACAAACTTTGTGGAACCAACATCCGCATGCATCACATTGCATACCATCACCCACTGGAAATTTACAGCTGGGACGACTGCAAACATGATTATCGCTGACCATGTTATTCACTGATATCGTGTACTAACTAAATTAATCATCCAAAATTCCGGCAAGAGGGCTTAAGTTGTGGATGTTGACTAAAACTAAGGAGGCAAGTCAGAAAACTTTGCGGGATAAAAAGTACTGAGATATTTTGGTTTGACCTGGAAACAATACACATCAAACTTTAGACTGTCGCAGAAGTAGCAAGCCGTATTGACTTACGTTCTGCATCTGCCTGATTGAAAAATTTTTTTTTTCGGAGTCTTCCTGGTCTTTTCCTGTTTCCAGGACTCAGATAGTACAAATATGCCATTCATTGTTGCTAGAAATCTGACGCTTAAGAATATGGTACCTGGGAAGTTGACTGTAATAGCTGCGGTTCAGAATTGGGAAGTGTCTCCGGTTCCAGAAAGGTCAGTAAGTCGGGTTCCTTGTCCAGTCTGACTCATTCAAACTTAAAATCGGAGAAACATTCTGAGTTAGCCGACTGCAGACTGGATTTTGCAGAAAAGAAGGAGAATAAACTTTAACCTCCAGTTGAAATCACTGAGAGAACCGGACAGAGCAAATGCCAAGACTTAGTAAGTAAGGGATATTTAGTTTAAGGTTCTGACGAAACCTCGAAAACGTCGGCTGTTTGAGAAGATGCTTCTTATGACCGTAGTGAAACTCATGGAATTGCAGACTTCAAGTGAGGTTTGGTCTGCCAAAAGACGAAAGATTGCGTACAGAAAGCGTGGGCAACTTGAACGCAACCCGCTACCCGGGACAGCCAGTTGTCGGAAATCATTGTTATCAGAAGTGAAGGCCGTCAAGAGACTATATGTGGTGCGAACAAGGACATGGACCCCCCATTTAGCAAAAAACTGTAAGTTGCTCACGGTTCAATGGTTTGTTATCTCCGGAAGAAAGAGGGATCAGACCTTGCATGACGACATCTACTTAACTTCAACCTATTAGGACCACTTTCCCGGTGACTTTTCCCGGAAAATGCTTCGAGTGTAAGCACTGAGAAGTGAGTTAAAGCCGGAAGGGAAGTGGATGGCAGTGACAGTTTTACCCACTGAAGACGTCTCAAAGTTGATTTACTTTCTGTAGGGCGTCGGG